GTATGTGGTGCTGAGGATCGAACCCGGGCCGCACGCATGCCAGGCGAGCGCGYTACCGCTTGAGCCACATCCCCAGCCCCTAACAACTATGATTCTAAGAAAGAGGGAGAAATAGGAAAATATAAGGGCTTGCAGGACTGTGAAATTCAGACACCCCTCTGGATAAGCTGGTCCTGACTACTTCACTTCTGTTTATTGAATTATTTCTATTTACTATGTTATTTTGGGGGCAGCAGCCACCTGCATTACCTCAGAGGCATTCAATAGGACTTCCTTCCTTGCATTTGGGAGTGCAGACCACATGGCTTGAATGCCAAAGTGGCACTGGCTTACCAGTTATGATCCTTTTTAGGTGACTTCACTGCCTATCTGTCCCTCATTCATACTACTACAGCTGCAGTGGACTCCTTGCTGTTCTTGAACTTACTTTCTTTCTTTTATTAATAGGATCCTGCTATGTCATTCAGGCTGATCTTAAACTAGTGGGCTTAAGTAATCTTCCTGTCAGCTGAGTTCCTGGGACTAGAGATCCACACCCAGACTGTTCTTGAAAATTCTAAATTCACTTTCACTTTACAGCCTTTCAGTTGGGATTCCCTAAGACCTTTAAAGCTTTATCTCCTCACCCCATCCCCTCATAGCTGTACATCTTCCTCCTTCACTTTACCAAGTGTTCCCTAATTACCCAGTTTAAATATCCATCTCATCTCCTTTTTTTATTATGTGTTTAATGCCCCCACTATAATGCTGATCACACTTTGGCCTATTATATATTTCTGATTTGTTTAGAGCAGGGATTTTGTTTTCCTCCATATACTTAATGCCAAAAACTGAGTCAATAAATATTTGTTGAATAAATGAAAGAATAAATGAATAAGACAGTATTACTGCTTTCTATATAAATTTTACAAATTATGTGGATATTATACTATATTCTGTATAGAGTCTTTTCACAGTGGAAATATTTCACAGCATGCAAATTTGTATTTTGCAAAAGATGTCCCATTTTTGTAGTTTTCACAGTCATTTTAAAAACATACCTTTAATAGTTAAAATAGATTTGAAAAATCTGCTAAAGGACTAGCTTTTCATAAGGGATTCCTAAATATCTTTCATCCAGAGAGTGGATGGTACTTCTAACTAAAATAAGTTAAAACCATACTTTAAATAAAAACTAAAAAATAATTTAATATGAGTTTCACATAAAACATCGCTTAATAAAGTATGTAGTTTAAAGTTGTGAACTATAACATTTTAACAAAACTTTGTTAAAATAGGATGTACTAAGAATGGTTCTATAGGTATATGGCCAACATGAATCATTTAATATTTCATACCTAATTCAATTCTTTTCCTCAATTTTAGGAAATCCAACAATTGGAATTTTGAAATATAAAGAGAAGTATTACACATTCAGTACTAGAGAAGCTGCATATTCATTTGCAGAAAATCCTGAATATTATATTGGTTTAATTAAAGAAAAAGCCAAAAAAAATGCAGAGTTAATTCAGCTACTGGAACTTCATCAACAGTTTGAAACACTTGTTCCATATTCTCAGGTAAGCAGGAATAATATTTAAGAATTTATGAAATTTAGAAGTGTATTTTATATAAGTTATACTTTACTTTAGAATAGTTCCCAAGTTCAGGCAGTGACAAGTTCAGATTAGGGTCTTTATAGGTTATCTGAAAGGGATTCACATCTGAGGATGGAAAATAATGGAATATGCAAAGAATAATGAAATAAAATATAGAGTAAAACTGATGAATTAATAGATTTGAAAACTCTGAAAGAAAAAGAGTATTTAATTGAATAGTTGAGACTATAGTTCCACATCTAAAAATGAATAGAGTTCAGCACAGATAACATAGATGACAACGTACTTATATTCAGAGCTGCAAAACAATTTAATGGGTTTAATTCCTAGTAGGCTGAAAGACCACAAAATGGATCAAAGATATTTCTTGGGACTGGGGTTGTGGCTCAGCAGTAGAGTGCTCCCCTACCACGAGCAAGCTGCTGGGTTCAATCCTTAGTACCACATAAAAATAAATAAATAAAATAAAGGTATTGTATCCAACTACAACTAAAAAAATATTTAAAAAATATATATTTCTTGTATGCCTATGCCTGTTCTTTCATTCATTCATCAGATATTTATCGAGCCCCTAATCATGGCACAAAGGAAATTAGCTGTGAACAAAACAGATAAAAATCCCTGCCTTTGTGGAGATCACATTCTAAAACCGTATAATTTTCTTGTTCTTTTCTCTTTTGCTCTCATCATCATTGTATACCTTTTAATTCTTCATTCTGTCTCTCCTTTCTTTCATTTAGCTTTTAAACACACTAAAATAAAAACCATTTTGAAATAACATGATTTCAAATGTTTAGTGTTTGCTATTTTTATTCACATTTAACTATGAAGCAGATGAATTTTGGTACCACTCATCTGGCCAGGAGGGATCCAAGCAACTGTTGGGCTGGTGACAGTGAAGCACAGAGGTAGTCTGAATACATTGGTGGGAAGATCTGAAAGAAAGTGAGGGCTGAGTGTCATTTGGGGTGGGGGTGGGATGGAGATGTGGCGGTCAGGACTCTGGACAGTTCAGTTGTCATTGTTCTGAGAGATTGTGTGTCACTCTGTTTTGTGACATTTYGGTTTATTTTTGAATCAAACAATTCTGCTGAGAGATCTAGCTTCCTCCTATTGTGGCAAGATATTGGCCTTGTCTGTTTAGTGTCCTTCTATATGGGGACCAAATGGTAGACTTACAATATTTGGCTCAACAGAGAGGTTACTCTGAAAATGATTGCACCAATTTAACTTGAGCATATGAAACTTGTCACACATAATCCTGCCAGCATTTGCTATTACTTAGTTTATAAGTTTGACAATTTGATTAAAGTGGTCTTGTTTCATTGTGTATTTTTCTGAAAGTAAGATAAAGTTCAGCATCTCTTTTTACATGTATTTAGTCATTCAGGTTTCCCCTTCGGTATATCAAGTATTCTGCATATCAATTCTGGCCATTTTTTTCATATATTTTCTGTTTTTAATTTGTTGATTAGCAATTCTTTATCTATTCTAAATATTAATCATTTATAAGCTATACACATTTTTCTAAGTCTGTAATTTCTCTATTAACTTTGTCAATGAAGTTCTTTATTGAAAACACCTTTTTAATTTTAATATAGTCATATCTATTAATTTTTCTCTTTAAAGTCTGTATTGTTTTTGAAGTCTTGTTTTAGAAATCCTTGTCTTTCCTAAGGTGATTGTTTTATATTTTCTTCTGTTTTATTTTTCATGTTTAGGACTTTAATGTATTTGGATATTTTAAAGGGTTTTGTTTGGTTTGGTTTTTGTACTGGAGATTTAACCCAGGGGTGCTTTACCACCGAGCTGCATCCCCAACCGTTTTCTTTATTTTGACACAGAGCCTTGCCAAGTTGCTGGGGCTGGCTTTGAACTTGTGATCCTCCTGCCTCGGCCTCCTAAGACACTGGAATTACAGATGTTTGTCACTGCTCTGTGCATAATTGCACAATTTTAAAACAATTTCTGTACTGATATCTTAAAGCTTTATAATGTGTCTTGATATCTGAATAGAGTAAGTTCTCTCACCCTGTATTCTCTAAAAAGTCTTGGCTTTACTTAACTCTTACATTTCATATATATTTGAGAAGTACATTGTCAAGTTTCATAAAGAAACCTTGAAGGAATTGTGGTTGAAATTGCCTTGTATATGTAGATAAGTAAAAAAAGTTCTGACATTTTTACAACTTTGTCTCCCTATCCTAAAATTTCAATGTAGTTTTATAATTTTTCCTAGAAACGGCTATACATATTTTGTTAGATTTATTTGTAGAGACTTTGTTATTGGTTGCTATTTTAAATGCTGTTGATTTTTAGAATTCAATTTTAATTGATTATTGCTTATATTATGAAAATGAGGTTAATTCTGCGTAYTGACTTCATATTTAGCAATCTTATTAAACTCCTTTATTAGTTTCAAGAGTCTTATTGAGAGTCTATTGATATTTTGAGTCTGTTAGTTTTTTCAATATGAGCAGTCATAATATCAGCAAACAGTAATAGTTGTTTTACCCAGATTTTGTATATTTTTAAAAATAGTGTATTACTTTATTCAGGGGGAAAATAAAATGAGGGGACATCATGGTGAGAAAAAGAAGTCAATTAGAAAACTTCAAATTGGGGGGATAAATAGTTTTAAAATAGTAACACAAAATGAATAACTATAATAATTTTCTAAAAGAAGATGCTACTCTTTGAAGAAAAACTTTAGTTGCTATTGCAAAAAGTGTCTATATGAAGAAGAAATTGATTTCAGTAACATCAGTGAGAATACATTCTAGAAAATGGATTTAACTGGATATTAAATTCTGGTAGCAATTTACTGTCCCAGATGGTTATTCTGAGACCAGTATTTAATGAAGAAGAAAACCCTGTGGGGAATTCTGGATGATACCTGGAAAAATATTACACTGTGTATAAACCAAACTGAATTGTTTTCTCAAGCATTGTAAAGTTTCATATAGCAGGGTTTTTTTCTATAAACATTTCAATTTCATAGCAAGAATGGCATAGAATACTTAAACACAGGAAAAAGCTTTCATGCAAGATATCTAGCTCCTTGATATAATAATACATACAATTCAAAATGATTGCACTATCATTCCATCTAGGGCTTGTGTAACTAAAACATGATGGTTATGGAAATCACAGCCCCAGGGTATCAATCTCTAGAAAGCAGCTACCACTGCCTATGTTTTTTCTCTTTTTGCATTTTTTGCTAATCAACTTCACTGTTGTTGTTTCTTCAGTTTTCAGTCCTTCAACCTTTAGTCTTTTGGAGTGAAGAAAGTACTGTGTGACATTTAGAACTCTGATTACAAATGGTATTCGCAAATTTTCCTATTTGAAGACTTCCATGACTTTCCTAATCAAGTCATCATAGGATGTCTGACTTAAGTTTGTTTCAAAGCTAAAAAAGAAATTCTGGTTCTGTAGTGAAGTCAGTAGTCAAGTTCCATTCAATTTTATTCTATTCACTGAATTCCCTCAGTGATTTAACAATGAGCATTAATCACAGAATCAGTATTTTGGTCAGCTTTCTTGCTGCTGTGACCAAAAACCTGACAAGAACAATTTTAGAGGAGGAAAAGTTTATTTGGCTCTCTTGGTTTCAGAGGTCTAAGTCTGTAGAGGGCAAACTCCATCACTCTGGGCTAGAAGTGGGGCAGAACATCAGGGCAGAAGGATGTGACACAGGAAAGCAGCTCAGGACATTGCACCAGGAAGCAGAAAAAAGAGCTCTCCCTTACAACAACAAAATATAAACCTCAAAGGCATATCCTTAGTAATCCACCTCCTCTAGCCATACCCAATTAATCTATAGTTACCACCCAGTTAATCCCTATCAGGGGATTAATATACTGATTAGATTAAGATTCTTAAAATCCAGTCATCTCATCTCTAAACTTTCTTGCATTGTCTTACATATGAGCTTTTGGGGAATACATCATATCGAAACCATAAAAACCAGGTATTATGCCACTAATTATATTCTCCTAAGTGACATCCTCTGCTAAAACACCATCTTTCATGTAGAACTGATCCATAACTGCTCTGTCAGGCATCAGAGTTTTCAGGTTTAATCTGTCTGATTATCCACCTATCTGGGAAATCCAGAGTATACAAATGCCAACAGTCAGAATTCATGAACCCTGCTACACTTGTTCTACTTAGGAAGATTGCATTAAGAAACTCTCTTTGTTCCTGGAAAGCCTGGTGTGGGTAGCTGTGGTGACAAGGCATCATGAAATTCTTGGAAGTGTAAGAGAAGAGTTAAATGAGTCAAACCCACTATAATTCCTAGAAAGCTTCAACATGGGAACCAATATTTTCAGCAAATGATAGTATCACATCTTCAAAATTAAACATCACTTGGATGCAAGCATTTGACTCTGAGTACATAAGCTTCCTACTTGTCAGTTTTTGTCACACTTACAATCGAACATCACACATCCTTCAAAAATATGTCACACTCAGATCCTGGGATGGCAAAGACCTCCAGATCCTTAGTTTGTATTGGATTGCTGCCAGGAGAGCTCAGACCTCCAGCAGCTTCTCTGTCCCTTTGAAAAATGTGCAGCTTCAATCATTGTGAGACTAGAGAACAATCAACAGCTAAATGAAATCTCTTCTACCACTGCTACAGATTGTTTTAGGTATGTTACTGAAGTTCCAGTGTCCTTTAATTTTTACTGTTAATTTATGTTGTTTTTTAAAATAAAAGATTAATAAAAATTTCTCAGCTCTTTTTGGACTTGGAGAATAGAGGCAGATATAGTTAATCTCTGTAGTCTTTATTATTTCCCAGTTAGAAGTACTAGCTAATGTAAATCAAGGGCCATACTGTGAGCCCTATATGGTGTATATTTATATATATATATCCCCATATATATAAATATAAATATACCAGTGAGAATACATTCTAGAAAATGGATTTAATTGGACATAAAATTCTGGCAGCAATTTAATGTCCCAGCTATTCTCCAGTGATCTTCAGTACCTATGGAAGTTAGTTTTCTCTTTGTATTATCCATAGAGAGCTTATTGTCTCATTATTTACAATTTCCTTATATTGTACAACACTTCTAATTATGTTTTAGTGTGTTTTTATCAACCCTACCGCATCATATATAACATATGTATTCTGCTGGACACACACACATACAGTGTAGTATATATTTTATGCTTTTTTCTTACCTTACTGCACTGAAAAGCAACCTTAGTACAATATTAAATAGAAATGGTTAAAGTGGGTACCACTGTCTTCTTTCTTATCTCAGAAAGATATTTTTGATATTTCATGATTGTATTTCATTTTTCATGGATTTTGTTTTATCAGGTTAAGGTTTCCCTTTTAATCTTAGTTGCTGAAACTTTTTTATATGAATGGTTATTGAATTATATCAACAGTTTCTATGTTTTTTTGAGATTATGGTGTGACTTTTACCCTTTAATGTGGGTAAAAGTGATGAATTCCTGTATATTATTTTAAAAACTTTTTTTTAAGTTGTAGATGGACACAATATCTTTATTTTGTTTATTTTTATGTGGTGCCAGGATTGAAACCAGTTCCACGTGTGCTAGGCAAGCACTCTACCACTGAGTCATAACCCTGGCCCTGTATATTAATTTATTTCTAAGATGAAGCCAAAATTTTTTTCCTTGGATCAATATAACCTGGTCCTGGTTCATTTTATTTTAAAAAATGTATTCATTGGTCATATTTTTTATTTTTCTTTGGAAATTTTAAATTTTACATCTGTATTTCTGTGTGAGACTGACCTATGCATTTCTTTCTCCTTACTCGCTTTTCTTGTTTTGATATCAAGGTTGATATACATGTCTTAGTATTGAGTGTAAATAATTATATTTTCTTTTCTATGTTTATTTAGTATTGGAATTATCTGGTAAAGTATGCTTATAAAGCTTTCTGGGTCCCTTCCTACCCCACCACCCTTCTCTGGTGCTAGGATTGAACTCAGGGTCTGTGCATGCAAGGCAAGCACTTTTCCAGCTGAACTATATCCCTGTCTCCACTGGACTTCTTTGATTATAAAAATTATAACTACTCATTTGACTACCAATTTTAAATACTTTTGTGATTATAGGATTTTTCAAGTATAGTTCTATTTCTTTTTGTATTAGAGAGTTTAATTTTTCTAGGAAATTATTCACATTTAAGTTCTTTACTTATGAAGATTTCACAATATTCTTTTTTATTCTTCACATTATCTTATGTCTGTTTTAGGTCTAAATATAGTTCATTTTTAGTCTTCTCTCTTTTTCTTTCAATTAATCTTGCTAGAGGATTTTTACAGTTTTTTAGTATGTCATTTTATTTCAATGATTGTTCATTTTGATTTTAGTTTTGGTTAATCTTGCCAAAGAACTATTTTCTCAGTTTTTTTAAAGAATTAGCTATTGGCGTTGTTGATCCCATTTTATCTTTGCTTTCATTTCCTATTTTCTGCTCTGATATTTTTTATTTCCCTTTATCTAATTGCTTTATTTCATTCTGTTTATTTTCTAATTCCTCAAATAGATACTAAGCTCATTAATTTTTAGCCTTTTTATGCAATAAAATAAATTTTCTTTTCACTCTACTACTTATACTTCTAAACAGTTATTTTTTAAAGGAATTTTGTCCTTTAATTTTTTAAATTTTTTTTTAGTTGTTGATGGACCCTTTTTTTAAGAAAAAATTATTATTTATATGTGGTGCTGAGAATTGAACCCAGTGTCTCACACATGCTAGGCAAGCGCTTTACCACTGAGCCACAACCCCAGCCCTAAACAGTTATTTTCACCATTGTTTAGTTCTAAGTATTTCCTTTTTAAAGGATTTCTTCTTTAGTTTATAGGTTATTTACACTTATTAACTTATTATTTTATAAATGCCACATATATATTTCTTTTGAATAAAAATACATGAAAATATGTTATATGTATGTTATTTACATTTTATATATTATTTTGGAGGTATAATATGACTTCTTATCACAAAAAGCCTCAAAGTTATTTCTGGCCCCTAACATAACTAGTATGTTTCTTTTTTTCCAATTAAGACCAAATCAGTTTTCTTAAGTTAGTGGTTCTTAAATTTGTACAAGTTATAGTCCCTGAAGATCATAATTCTTTTTGATGAGCATTATAAGTGTCACTATCTTATGTTTAATACGTGTCATTTTGTGCCTCATTAGATACTATGTTATATAAAATTCTAATTTAGAAAAAATATTCAAAAAAAGGACCAATACTTTAAAATTTATGGAAGAAATATATATAAACAAATTTTTAATGAGTAATTTTTCTGCAGATTGGAACAATTTCATTTATCATTCTACTCTGAATTTAAAATTATTTAGGACTTTAATTTATAAGATGGAATCCAAACTCCTTGGCTTGGCATTCAAGGCCTACATGTCCTTTTTTATTTTTCTTTAATTCTCACCATGACCTCTCAGTGTCAGAAAAACAATGATTGTATACTGGTCTCAGACTTGTTCAAACTAACCTGGTCTTCTATTTGTTAAAAAAAAAATTTTTAAAGAATGTATAAAATTATGATTCTCATGGAGATATAAAAATGAACATGTTTTAAACAGTATAACCTATTTGTTGGTCAGTGAGAGAATCAGTCAGACTTTTTTTTTTAAGTACCAGGAATGGAACCCCCAGGGGCACTTAAACACTGAGCCACATCTCCAGTCCTTTTTTTTTTTTTTTATATTCTATTTTGAGACAGGGTCTTGCCAAGTTGCTAAGGGCCTTGTTAAATTGTTGAGGCTGGCTTTGAACTTGCAATCTTCCTGCCTCAGTCCCCAAGCCATTAGGATTACAGGTGTGTGTCCCTAACCCCCTGCTCAGACAGATGTTTTGATTGGTTTAAAAGAGAATCCTAAAAACGCACACATTTTTAGACCAGAAATATTCAAATTAATGTGAAAATAAAGGCAACATTGATTTTTTTTTTCCTACATGGATAAAAGGAAGTCATTTGAAGTACAGACAGGGCCAGGGATGTAGCTTAGTGGTAAAGCACTTGTGTAGTATGAATGAGGCCCTGGGTTCAATCCTCAGTACCACACATACAAAAAAAGTTAGGACAAATTTTACATGTCTATAGTCAAAAATTATTTGGCCTTGTTATCACTTATTTACAATGTACAGAGTTGTAAAATAGCTCAAAGACAAAGCCTAGAATCAGATAACCATATGTTGTCTGTAGATCCTGCAGTTTCCATAAGGTAAATTTTCCCTACACACCTGGTTTTGTATTTCCCTTTCTTTAAGCCTATTTAATATCCAGCTGTTCTCTAGTGACCTTCAATATTTATGGAAGCTCATTTTCTCTTTGTATAGTTCATAGAGAGTTTATTGTCTTATTTATTTACCATTTCCTTGTATTATATAGTACTTTTAATCATTATGTTTTAGTATATTTTTATCAACACACCATTCATAAGATAATTTTAAAGGCCAACAGTGCATCAAATGGTAGGTACTTTGTGATTATTTGGTGCTTAAACTTAATGTATTCTCTCTCATCTTTATTATGATTCAAGTTCCTTAACTCTCTGCCACTCCCTCCAACACTGTCACATGCAGCATAACCATATCTTCCTTAGTCTGGAATTACTGAATACTGAATATTGGGCACCCCAGCCCCAAAACAGTACATTCCACTAAAAATAAAACCCAACCCTGTCTCTGAAAAGCCTTCAGTAATCTTCTATGTATAAAGTTCAAGATTTAAACAAAGGTGATTTATACCTAGCATTTAATAGCTATTTTTAATTTCTATCCATTTCTAACACATTTCCACTTAATCCACTGATTATGGAACATGGGGAGGAGCAATTGAATTTCTCAAGGAAAGGAAGGATGTTTTCCTCCTCCAAAATACAACTCCTACATTAAGTTTACAAATCATGCACAAAGCTATAATGTTCAGAAGAATAATTATGTTTATCTCATCAATTTTGAGTTTTATTTTCTCTGCTGGTATTAACAAGTAGATTTCATGTTCAAAAATTCTTGATTTTTAATTTATTTTCAGTTTTAGCTACATTTGTCTAGTTATCTATAAATAATGTTTATTTTTTATAAGTACTAATTACAAAACTCTTTTTTTAGGTGAGAGATGTTGACAAACATTATATAAAACCAATTACGAAGTGTGAAAGTAGTACACAGACAGATACACATATACTGCCACCAACAATTGTGAGAGCATATGAATGGAATGAATGGGAATTAAGAAGAAAAGCTATAAAATTGGTTTGTGACAATATTTTTAAAAAATATTCACAACTTGAGTAATTTTAATGTGTTCATAGATTTGATAAGTTATTTATATAAAATGAGTCCTATACAGTTCTTTGCTAACATAAAAAATTATGTTAGCCAGCTTTACTTGGTAAGATTGTCTTCTAACTTTAAGCATATATAAAGATACAGAAGCATGAAACTACTCTCAAATGACATCTACCAGTAACTACAAAGTGTCTTGATAGTTTTAAAACTTGGAGCTAGTTTGTAAAGCTCTCTTAACTTATTCTAATCATTTAAAGCATAGCCTTCAGTTTGGGAACTTTTTAGGTTAAATCATCTATTTTCTCCTCTTACTGTCAACCTTTTTTGTCGAGACGCTGGACTATCATCCTTTTGATTCTCAGTCACCCTAATCACAACAAGTGCCTTATTCTTAAAGCCTGTCTTTGAAACTCTCATCCCTATCCAACTCAGTGAAATCCCCCCAATTTGTATCTATTTATAGTTTCTTATAATTTTAAACATCAAATAGTTGCAGTATGAATGAAATAATTTGTAAAAATATTTGTAGCATTTTGTTAGTATGTTTTACCCATTTCTTTAACTGAAATCAGGTGTGGAAATAAATGAAGCTGTCTCAAATGTGAATCCATGGAGGCTGTTTACTCAGAGATAGCTGGGGCAAGGGAGTCAGCATCATTACTTGAGTTTGGCAAACTCAAAAAGCAGTCAGGGAATGGAAAAACTATAGTGAGAAAAGGGGAAAAGTTTTAGTTTTCTTGGATGAGGTTGATGATATGGGGAAACTGGAGGCAATCTAACAAGAAGCAGGGCATCTTATGAGATCTGGTTTGGTGAATATATTTGACTTTCTTTGGTTAATTAAGAGTTGGGGCCAAAAAAAGCGGGGGGGGGGGAAGCTGGCCAAGTCCTGCCCATTCTGGGCCAGTTGCTATGGCTACAGAGGTTATCTTTTGGGTTCCCAGACTGGTTGATGTAGAGGTGTTGAGTCAGAGAGTTCAATTGTCATATATGATCTAGCCTTTGTTCCTCTTACATATTCAACCTCTAACAGCCTTCCCACTAATTAACATCATTTCTGTTGCCACCCTCTCTGGTGGTAGCTTTTAAGTTACCCAATTTCCTGGGATGAGGAAGGATCAGCTTCCTCATATATATATTTCAAACCAGTGTTCCGTTAGCATTCCTGTCAGTTACTCTTCTGTAGAAATGCCCACTTTCCCATATTCTTTTCTGTTATTTACTAAACTCACTTGAGTTCATCAAACACTTACTGGGTAACACTACCTTGTTCTTCAGGGGCTAATTGTCTAGCAAGTGATACTGTTACACTAAAAACCTTGGAAAGTGGTAAGAGAAGTGAAATAAAAATTCTGCTAAATTAGGTAACACCTTAAGTTGGTCTTGATATACAAAGAGTCAAATGTAGGGAGCAATGGTAGAACATGATTTTGAGAGGAAGAGGGGGCAGGATAAGTATGGAAATGTTAAGGCAATATATTCAGAGGGCTAAACTTCACATTCCTATCCCTAAATCACCACTTGATTCTTATTTCCACCTCAGACCTAATTATCCCCTAGAATTGCATCATGTTGAATGTCATGCTTCCTGAGTATTACCAATCCATCCTGTTGATTAGACAAAGCTAAGTTTACTGTTTTATAGCTGCCAGGGAGATACCACCTCAGCAGAACATTGGCAGTGTCTCAGAGGAGGAGTAGCAAATTCAGAATTTATTGAGAATCKTAAGTTTGTTAAGGCAGGTCTTTTGATGCCTTAGGTGGGTTAGAGGGTTGAATGGGGGTCTGAATAGTTTTGGGTAGGGATCAAGAAAAAGCAGTCCAGGGCTGGGGATGTGGCTCAAGCGGTAGCGTGCTCGCCTGGCATGCGTGCGGCCCGGGTTCGATCCTCAGCACCACATATAAAACAAAGATGTTGTGTCCACCGAAAACTGAAAAATAAATATTAAAAATTCTCTCTCTCTCTCTTTAAAAAAAATTTAAAAAAAGATAATGTCTAAATGGGTTCTTGCCTTTAGCTGTTTTCTGGATTCATTACCTTTAAAAAAAAAAGAAAAAGAAGAAGCAGTCCAGCATTGGTGGGAATTACGAAATGAAGATTTTTGAGACAAAAGATAAAAAGAATCTTTGAGCTTAAACTGTGTATTGATGCTTACTACTGAAGAGTTGACTGTCTTTTAGGATGTTCTTTAATAAACAGTCAAGTGATTTACTTGGGCAAGAGGCTCTTGGAATTGTTAAATTATTCTAGTGAAGACAATGAAATGATAAAATCACATTAATGTAAACTGTGTGTGTAGAGGAAGTAGTTTGGATTCTCAGTCTCCCAAACTCTGATGTGTTTCCTTTAATCCCAGGTGTTTCCTTTAGTCACCTTCTTCATTTACATGCTCTAATGCCTTCTGAGGTTTTCCTTGGTTTTTTGCATAATCTGATCAATCATTAGCCTCCTTATTTTTTCTTTTCAGCACTAGGGATTGAACCCAGGGCTTCACACAAGGTGGGCAAGTGCTCTACCTCTGAGCTACACCCCTACCCTTATCTTCCTTTTAATTATCTTCTCTTGGGGCTGGGGATGTGGCTCAAGCGGTAGCACCCTCGCCTGGTATGCGTGCGACCAGGGTTCGATCCTCAGCACCACATACCAACAAAGATGTTGTGTCCGCCGAGAACTAAAAAATAAATATTAAAAATTCTCTCTCTCCTCTCTCACTCTCTCTTTAAAAAAAAAAAAATAATAATTATCTTCTCTTTGCTTCCCAACTTGTGTAATATGTTTAACCTCATGTTTAATAATCAAGGGAGTAAGCAAAATGAAGAATATTGTAAAATATAATCTGAAAACAACAGTTTTTTAATACTAAAACAGGGTGAAGACTATTTTATAGACAATATAAATCTGAAACTTTTATCTTTAAAAAAATAAAACATGTATGGTGGAAAAAATCCAGGTCATATGAATCTCAAAATATAATAATAAAGGAATTAGAAATATTTTAAAAATTAATTGAGCTCATTGTAACTCTGGATCTGTATGTTCTTTTTGGGTCCATTTTCCACATTTTATATATTTTTCTACTTCTTAGTAAAGGACATTTAATTTTCTATTATGTTTTAAATTTTCTAACATTCTGATATTTTATAGAAAAATGCTGTGTTGGATTTCCAGCTCTGGGGCCCCTTCTCTCCAGAGAAGTCTAACTTTATATCTTTGTTGCTTGTACAATAAACCTACTTCTTGCTTGCTAAAAAAAAAACCCAAAAGCACACACACACACACACACAAAAAAAAAAAACAGAAAAAAACAATGACAAAAATGAAAAAGAGAAAAATGCTATGTTAATCAGTAGAATAGAGGAAGAGGGAATGGGGGAGAGATGAGGAGGTACTGGGGAATGAAACTGAGTTATATTGTTATATGAATGTACAAATATGTAACAGTGAGTTCTACTATTATATGTAATTATAATGTACCAATAAAAAATTTAAAAAATTAAACTCATATTCTGATTTCTCTTAAATAACTCTTAAATAAAAATGCTGTTACAGGATTAAATTTTTGTCAGTTGAAAAAAAGATAGGCAGATAATTAATTGTACGTGATGATATTTCATATTCTGTTCTTCAGAGAAATGTTAATTCCTGTTTTCTTTTTCTGCTTAGGCCAATTTGCGTCAGAAAATTACTCACTCAGTACAAACTGATCTTAGTCACATGAGAAGAGAAAATTGCTCACAGGTGTACCCTCTCAAAGATGCTAGCACCCAGTCGAATAGGGAGGGCAGCACTCGAGTACCCAAGCCCCAGATTTACATAGCTGGTCTTCGAGGGGGACGAAGCAAAACTACCCATGCAGTCAAGGTGAACCTAACAAGAGCTGTTGATGAAACCTAGAGGAAGATCACATTTTTGAAAATGTTACCCAATTATGAACAATGACAAATACCTAAAAGTATTTTTACCTCCATGAAAATTAATTTTGTAGAAGATGGCACATGCTATTGCTACAACAAACTAGAAGTTATTTTCTGTAACACCTTTTCATTGTATTAAAGTTGGGAAGTCAAATTCTGTCCTTTTGTCTTTGTTTTATCTTTTAGAAAAAGTTTGGCAGCGCAAAGATTGAAATTATGCCATTTAGATAATAATAATATAAGATAATGTCACTAGAAGTGGAGACTATTTATTTCTAAAGTTGCATTTAATGTAAAACATTAAAATTTTAAAACCCAATCAATATTTTCAGTTTTACTAGCTATGTAATGATAGCATAGATTAAATTGCTGTATAATAAAATCTTACTGTTTGGAACAATTAGAGCAAAGGTCTGCAAGATGACTCTTTGGTTTTTGGTACTGGGGATTGAATCCAGAGACAGTTTACCACTGAGCTAAATCTCCTGTCCTTTTTATTTATTTTTTATTTGAGATGGGGTCTTGCTAAGTTGATGAGGGTCTCCCAAGTTGCCAAGGCTGACCTGCAACTTGCTTTTGCCTCAGCTTCCTGAAATTATAGGCCTGTGCCACCACCTGGGTAACATAATCACTCTTAAAACCTGGAAATTTTACCTGAAATCTGGATTTCTGGATCTTTGAAAAAAAAAATAGAATGTCTGAGAACACTTAACTAGCATTTCTCTAAATAGTAGCTTTGACTTTTCACTTGTAATTCTCCACTGTCTAATTCAATTCCCGGAGCCTTACAGGCCTATTTCATTCCTCTGTTTGTTTGCCCATTCCTATAGGCAGGTATGTTGAGGGCCCCAGTGAATTACTGATGATCAAATTTATATATATAAATATATATTAACATAATTATATGTATATAACAAGTTATGTATATGCACATATAAAAAATATTTATTTATTTTGTGGTACTGGGGATTTAACCTAGAGGGGCTTTACCACTTAGCTATACCCCCAACCTTTTTTTTTTTCCATTTTGAGAAAGGGTCTTGCTAAGTTGCAGAGGCTAGCCTTAAATTTATGATCCTCCTGCCTCAGCCTCCCGTGTGACTGGAATTGCAGGTGTATGCCACACTTTTGGCTCTGATTGCTAAATTTAAGATCTGTAATTTTACTACTGCCTTACATAATTCTAATTCCAACTCATGGATAAGAAAGGTTCTAGATGGAGGGCCTGTTAAGGTTGCTTTAATAGGTTAATAGTTAGCATATTTTTTTGCATAAGTAATTTTACTAAGGCATTTGTATAATTGTTTTCTATTTAGGCTAAAGTTATTTATAACATGGATATTCTTTGAAATCCACTTTCAACAGAGATTTTTTTTTTTAAAGAGAGAGTGAGAGAGGAGAGAGAGAGAGAGGAGAGAGAATTTTTAATATTTATTTTTTAGTTCTCGGCGGACACAACATCTTTGTTGGTATGTGGTGCTGAGGATCCAACCCGGGCCGCACGCATGCCAGGCGAGCGCGCTACCGCTTGAGCCACATCCCCAGCCCTCAACAGAGATTATAACAAAGAACTTTAAACATACCTACTTGTAAACTGTCATGATTTTCATAACATTAAAAATAATGTTAAAGCAGGTTGGCTTGCTAACTGTTAAGGCAAATCCTTGAGGGGAGGGAAAGATAGGGTGATTGTAGCTATTATTAATCTTAAAAATTAAAAATTTGATTCTTATCTGTTCAGTTTGCCCTCATTTGGTTCTTCAAGATTCTAAAACACAGGCAGGCACAGTGGCACATGTCTGTAATCCCAGCAACTTGGGAGGCTGAAGCAGGAGGATTACAAGTTTGAAGCCAATTTTAGCATCTTAGACCCTATCTCAAAATAGAATTTAAAAGAACTAGCCGGTGTGGTGGCACATGCTTGTAATCCCAGTGGTTCAGGAGGCTGAGATAGGAGGATCGTGAGTTCAAAGCCAGCCTCAGTAATTTAGTGAGGCCCTAAGCAATTCAGCAAGACTCTGTCTCTTAAATAAAATACAAAATAGGGCTGGGGATGTGGCTCAGTGGTTGACTGCCCCTGGGTTGAATCCCTGGTACCAGGAGAAAAAAATAAATAAATAAACATAGAAAAAGAATGGTTGGGGTTATTTTAGGACTGGAATTAGAATGGTCAAATTAACAAAATTAACAAATCCTATTTGAAAAGCCAGCCTTAGTATCAGAAAGTCACTTCGTATATGCAAGAACCAGAATAAAGGGAGCTAGATCAGATTGTAAATGCATCATCTCCCAGGACCTCCACTGTCTATTCACTCTAAAGATTTCCAGCCCTATGTTGCAGATTGTTACCGTCATAACAGCATGTCACAGACTGAAATGATTCTTTTTGCCAAATTTCTTTCTTCCTCTTTATTTACTTCTATGATCAAAGGCATCACTCTCTACTCACTAGCATACATTAAAAACTTGATTCTCTTTCTCTCACATTCCCTATGTTTAACTAGTCATTAAGCCATGTTAATTTGGCTTGAGATGTCTTTAAATTTCATGTATTATAACCACTGCTATAGTTCAGGACATTTTCCTATTTTCTAGGTCACTGCTGCCTCTATTGCTTATATGATTCATTAGGGTAATACATATATTTAACACATAAATCTGATGATGACACCTGGCCTCTTCCCCTCAACCTTCACCTCATTTGCTTAAAAACCTATTAAGACTCGTGTCCATTACCTAGGAGATAAAGTATAAACTGCTTCCCATATTTTATAAAACTTTTCAAAATATGCTTTCCATTATCTTCTAGTTTCATCTTCTGCTCCTCTCATACTTTCTGCACATGCCAAGTTGATCCAAAACTCTTCAAATAGGTCATAGTCTTTAATGCCACCACTCTTACACTTCCTCTTCACTCTGTCACCTGGAATGTACTCCATAGTCACCATGAAATTTTGTTTGCCATCAATAGCCTGATAAGATTTTTCCTTTCATAGTTAGGTTTTTCCCCATATACTGTGAAAAAATTAATTGCTTCCTTCTTTGGATTTTCATTGGATTTTATTCCTATTATTACTGTAGCCCTTAAAATAAATTAGTGTATAATTTGGTGTTCATCTATATTGTTTCTGTTAGATTGTGAATTTCTTGAGATTTGAACTATTTTAGTCATCTTTATGTCTTTGGCATTTGTATAGTATCTTGTTGAATGAATGATTTTTAAAAAAGAATGAATAAAGGGACAAACTAGAACAGGGTTTTGATTATTTTAATATTCAAAAGCAGGAGTTGATAAGGAGTACAGTATTAAGTAAATATTACAAAAGGGAGTAAAAGAGAGGAAGAGGAGATTATTTTGGGGGGAAACTTTGGGAAATCAAAAGGGATAGAATTGGTATACTTTTTGCAGGATTTTGAGAAAGTTATGTTTGCCTTCTTGTAGTAGGACATTAGGAAACCACTGTAGATTCTTGAACAGCAGACTAATTGTGGGAGAGTGATACTGGAATTGGTGAGGGTTGCTTGGAAGCTATTGTAAGAATTGGGACATGCAGTAATATATGATGTGAAGGGACAAATGTTACATTTAATTAAGGGGACATACCATCTCAAGAAAGGGAAGGAAAAAAATCAGTTATCTCAAGGTTTCTGCCCTTGGATACCAACGATAATTGAGAGAGGCACTTGATCAAAAAAGATAGAAATATTCAACACTTAAACATTTGAGTTTAAAGGATCATGAGAATAGTATATAATGAAAGATATTTGGGGCAGACAAAGATAATTTTGGAATATATCCTCATAGGAATGGGAGGGAATGAGGTGGAAGAGGAGACAGAATACGATGTGTACCAACCAAGAGAGTAAGAAATATATATTAGGAATCTCTGTGGTCACAAAAAAGGGTCTAGCTCTATTTACTAGATGTGTTACTTAATGTCTCTTTGCCACAGTTTCTAGTTTCTTCGGTATAAATGAGGATAGTAATAGTATCTAACTATTCCGTTGTCAGGAGAATTAATAAATGAGTTAATACATGTGAAGCACTTAAGAGGTAAGTGCTTTGTCAACTTGGTCAAGGGAGAAGAGAATCTCCAGCATTAATTTCTACTGTACCCCCTGTCTGAGTCAGGGTTCTCCAAAGGAACAGAACCAATAAAATGAATATGTTTATATAGAATGAATAATAGAATGAATGAGTGTGTGTGTGTGTGTGTGTGTGTGTGTGTGATTGGTTTACACTATTGGAGGCTGAATAGTCCCACAATGATTGCATGTTGGAGAGCCAGAGAAACCAGTAGCTGCTCAGTCCAATAAACTGGAAGCCCCAGAAAAAGAGGGACCATTAATGTAGCCACAGTTCAAGGTCGAAGGCCTGGAAATTCTCTGAAGAATTGCTGGTGAGCGTCCACATGGAAAGACTGAAGAAACTGAAGTCTGATATCCATGTGTGATGACAGCAGCAATAGAAAAACCACCTACATGTGCTGGTGGGCTTCCTCCTTCTTCGTGTTTTGTTCTATCCATTCCCTCAGCCTACTGGACAGTGCTACCCACATTTCAAGGGTGGTAGCCATTCCCCTAGTTTGTTGTTCCACATGGCACTCAGCTCTGGAAACTCTCACAGATGCACCCAAAAATGTGCTTTACTCATTTCCTAGTCATTTTTCAATTCAATCAGGTTGACAATAAAAAATTAACCATCATACCCCCTTCTTCTTTCACTTTTTGTTTTATAGCTCTCAATTAGTACCTGACACATTATGCTTAGCACATTATGAATTTCAATAACCAAAGAGAATGAAGAATTAGAAAAGCTTGATAGGGTAGGCAACTGATGAGATCCCTTTTAAGAGCTGGCTAGAGTAAAAGTAAGATTTCAGCAAGTTAAACAGAAAATGGTAGAAGTAGGTACAGATTACATATCAGTGACTGTTGAGCAGGAAAAGAAAAATAAGATTAATGATAAAAGAGGAAGCA